AGGTACAGTATTTAGGAGATGTTTGGGGCAGGAACGTTCTGGGTTTGGCTGAAGGGGCCAAGGCTCTCATGGCAATTGAGAAGTTCCACACACTTATATTTGTCCAAGTTTCTAAAACTCTTAATTTATTTACTAAAGTTTTCCAGTGTGAAAATATCCAGTTGAAGGCACAGATAAAAAGAGAGTTGGTGGCAGGAGAGAAAGATGGAAAAGTGAGGACAGATTACTTGGTCTTTTGCAAATTTACCAATGATATTTGCATAAACTTCTTTAGTACTCAGTTTGTACCTGTTTTTCTAATTCTGTTTTGGTAGAATTTTACTGCTCTCCTTCCACACTGAACTCCTGAGGGAAATCAACTGTACCAGAGATAAAGACTTTAAGATTTCAGCCCCTGATTTTGTCTTTGTTTCTTCTGGCAAAGAATTGTTTTTGCAGCATGTACTGAACATTATAGGGAAGAACAGGCTGGTACAGGCAATACAACCTATTGTATACCCTGAGTAGAATTCAAAACATGGAAGCAGCAAGTCTCTTCCTTCTCCAAGCCATAGCAAACTGAAGCCTCTGTGGATAATAGCACAATTGGCTTACATGTGAAAGTATCCCCATGGGTTGGAAACTAAGTTTTAGTGACTGATTTGTACTCAGTTCCAATTAATTGGAATGGCAGTGGTGGTTAAATGAATAGCAACAAAAATGTTTATTGTTCCAGAGATCTTGCACTCTCATATTCTTCTATATTTCTGTATTTTCTACTAAATTAAAAAAATCATACCACTGAATTTTGGCCACAGAATCTTAGTTGATTGGAGACCAACGATGGGGCACTGGGGCAGTATGTAGCATAAATCTTTCTCACTCCTGCTCCAGATCCAGTCCCCACTGGTGCCCCAGAACCTGGGTGTCAGGGTATCTTCTCAGCCCTCGTTGATTAAATGATTCATTCTGTACTGCTCACCTCCTAACTCCACTTCCTTGTTTTGACATCTTGGGAAGAGATGTTTTCTGCTGGAGGCCCATTTGATGAAATGGCAGGAATGAGGTCCCTATACTACATTTGCCTAGATCTGCTCAGTACCGCTATAGAAGGAAAACTATACCTACCTCTTTGAGCTTTGTAATGAAAGAATAGCGTGAGAAGACACCTACCTAATTACATTAACTGACTTCTTACTTAATAAAAGTGGCACCTAAATGTTATGATTTTCAATGACTAAGAATAAATTCCAACAGAATACAAATACAAGAGAATTGTCCTATAGAAGATACTATGATATCAGTTATAGGAAGATGAATTAAACTAGTTAGGTTGTTCTCAAGGAGGCCCGGCTTGTCTCCTTAGAGCCCAATTCAAAGATGTCTTCTACTGGAATTTTAAATTTACCCTTCTGTCACCCTCAGACTAGACACAGAAGCCTTATGCAGGTTTTCATTTCTGCACAGATAGACCTAAAATGGGAAGAGCTCTGCTTTATTTTTGACAGCGTCCCATCTAAAAGACAAACAGCGATCCATGCATTTCAGTGGCATGTTATTTCCCACGGAAGGAGAAAGTTGAAAGAGGTCACTCCCTGATCTTAGGAGGACATGTTTTAAGCTTTTCTTTCTTTTGGAAACCTGATTCTTACAAGAAAGAATAGTCCCTGTCAGAAACAGGGCCTTTCATTTTTGCCTATGCCAACATTTCTGGCTTTTCTGGGTTAGATTTCAGCTGTGGGCCATCTGTCACTTCTTATGAATTTAATTTCTATTCCACCTTTCCATTTACCAAAATAATACTCAAGCCATACAACAACACTTAAAAATATACACAAATAAAGAAGTTAAAAGCTAAACATCCTAATCAGAATAACTGCAGATTAAAATAGTTGAAAATATGAGAATTCATGGGAAGCAGTAACAGAACAAAATGCTTTACACCCAGCAGCAGAAACTTAAACAAGAAAGTATAGGGTGGGTGAAATGAATTATCTGTGGGTGAAGACATTTACAGAAAAGCCCATTTTACACATTTCAACAATGTATAAATATAATATCAAATGCATATTTTGCTTTTATTTCCTACTTTTAAGATCAAAGAAGGGCCTCTCTATCAGATCTTGGTTTCTAGTTAAAATGATATGAGAAGAGTTGGTCCATTAGTGTTATCCCCACTAGACAGACCAGACCAGGAAATCAACTCCTCAGGAAGGCTAGAGCTACTTTAACTGAGAGTGGCTATAATAAAAGAATCTTGCAAGTCTGATTGTGCTGCACCTCCTCCCCTTTCTTATACTTCAGGTTGTTTTTGTAGCAATTTATTAATTTATGAGGAAACTATTTGTTAACTATCACAACTGTTCCCAAATGGTAGCTCTGCATTGATGTAAGCAAGATATGCATACTAATGCATCTAACTTATGTGACCGCATATTGTAAGCCTTATCTTTCTAAGGAAATACCATCCCACTGAGAACAGGCTGAAACTTTGCTTCAGCAGAAATATATGTTTACCTCTGCACCCCAGGCTTATCTGGATTAAATTTTGTTGCCCCTCAAGTTGCCTCCAGACACCAATCCAGGATTTAATTAATTGCATGTCTCAGATCAGAAATCCTATTGCTAAATTGTCAGGAAAACCTTTATAGAGTTACTAAGAGTTCCATGAACTGCAAGAAGAACCAATAAGACCATCCTGGACCACATAAGACCAACTGCTGCCTTCAGACAATGCCCAGCAAGCAGAACCTCTTATACTTTGGGCAAGTGGATGATGAACTAGAAAACAGCTATGCTGACAATGGTGAGGGAAATAACAGAAGGGAAGACAAGAGATAAAATGGACAGACTAGACCTGGGGGATCATCACAAAGTCATTGGAAGAAGTGTGGATTATCACAGGGGAGAGGCTGGGATGGCAGGCTTTTGTCCATATAACCAGAAATCAGAAACTACTTGATCACCTAACTAACCAGCTACACCTAAACCACTAAATAATTTTCTACTTAAAGTGTATTAAAATAGGTTTTGTTGTCACATGAGTTGGATTATCTAGAAGGAGGGAGAACCTTTTCCTGAAACCTGTCAGTTGGACAGAACTTAAGAGATAAATCTCAGTTTCTAGCTCTATTAATCTGTTTACAATCAGGCTGGAGAAAGGTAGAGAAATGACATTGGTTGAAAAATCTGATATTCCAGCTCAGTTAGGAAGCTCATTATGAAACTTGAGCAAATGTCATAGCTCTTTGCCTCAATTATTTCTAAAACTGTCATAAGGCTAAAGCTTTTTCTTGGACAGGAGAGGGTATGAAGGAGGGTTGCCACATTTTGTCTTTGTGTTCCATCTGGGCGCTGCAGGGTGTGGCTGGTCACAGTATGATTTCACCAAAGTGAGCAGCACTGAAATTTATGGACCTCTTCTTTTTCTTTTTCTTTTTAATGTTTTTTTTTTTGCAGAGACAGGGTTTAAAGGGCAACATGGGTGCCTTACACTTGCTACACCTTACCCAGTTCAATCAGGAAATATCATTCTACTGCGGACTTCAGGAATATCCCCCCAAACTAAAACACTGGGGAAATTTGTCCCAGCTTACTTTGGTGGCTGCAAGTAAGAGTGCTGGGAGCCACGGGCTGCCCCTCCCTGGTCTAAAAATGCAAACTGCAGAGTTAAATTAAAAAAAAAGAAAAGAAACAGTGCTACAAATGAGTATGAAGTGAAGACCACCATGGATAATGACGCTATGAGAATCACTTCATTGAATGATGGGGTAAACATTTTGCGACTCAATAAATATCAGCAACATTGGTAACTGCAGAGCAGACCCAATTGCGTTTCATGCCCCAGCCTGAAGATGGCATGGCCATTCCTCCAAGTGCTATTCCTCTTAAAAGGATTCAACAGAGTGGGATCCCTGAAGTCTGAGCGCATCTTTGCTCTGACTAGAGTGGCAGAAATACCCCAGTGCTGAGGGGAAAACAGGAAAAGCCTTTCCAGGCTGTGCTGAAAAACTGAAA